CTAAAAAAAAAAAAAAAAAAAAAGTAAATCAGATCATGTCACCTTTCTGGCCAATATTCTCCAGTGGATCACCACTGAAATAAAACCCAAAGTTGGCCAGGCACGGTGGCTCATGCCTGTAATCCCAACACTTTGAGAGGTGGAGGTGGACGGATTACCTGAGGTTAGGAGTTTGAGACCAGCCTGTTCAACATGGCAAAACCCTGTCTCTACTCAAAATACAAAAATTAGCTGGGCGTGGTGGCAGGCACCTGTAGTCCCAGCTACTAGGGAGGCTGAGGCAGGAGAATTGCTTGAACCCAGGAGGCAGAGGTTGCAGTGAGCTGAGATCGCCCCACTGCACTCCAGCCTGGAAGAGTAAAACTCCATCTCAAAAACCAACCAACCAACCAACCAACCCCAAAGTCCTCATGTGATATAAGAGGCCCTACAAGATCTAGCATCCTGCCACCTCTCTGACCTCATCTGTGTCACCCTGGTCCAGCTACCCAAGCCTCCTTGTTGGTCTGCTCACATGGTCCTGCCTCAGTACTTTCGAACTTGCTCAGAAGGCTTTTCTCCCAGATACATGTATGATTTGTTTCCTTATCTCATTCAGGTCTGTGTTCACATATCACTCCTTGAGGGAAGGCTTCAAATGATCTCATCTAAAACTGACCCCCATCCACACTGCCGCTTTCATCCCCTTAGGGTGGTTTTTTCCCCTTAACACAAATCACCATCTAAGTTTATCACACATTGTTGGTTGCTTATTGGGTTTCCCCCAACAGAATGTAAGCTCCGTGAAGGCAAATCTTTGTTTTCTTATTGCTGCATCCCTGGCATCCAGGAGGTGCTCAGTAAATGAATGAAGTGAAACTAAAGAAGATATGAGTTCCATGACAGGAAACAGCTTATGGTAGAAACCCTGCACCTGTTGGTTTAGGGGATGTTGACCGTCAGAACCAGAGATAACCTTAAGAATAGAAGAGATCCTGCCAGGTGCTGTGGCTCCACCTGTAATCCCTGCACTTTGGCAGGCCAAGGTAGGTGGATTACCTGAGGTCAGGAGTTCGAGACCAACCTGGCCAACATAATGAAACTCCATCTCTACTAAAAATACAAAAAATTAGCTGGGCATGGTGGTGGGGACCTGTAATCCTAGCTACTTGGGAGGCTTGAGCCGGAAGGATCACTTGAACCCAGGAAGTGGAGGTTGCAGTGAGCCGAGATGGCACCACTGCACTCCAGCCTGGATGACAGGAGTGAAATTCCGTCTCAAAAAAAAAAAAAAAAGAAAAAGAAAAAGAAAAGAAAAAAAAAAAAGGAATATAAAAGATCCCTGGGGGCCAGGCATGGTGGCTCACGCCCATAATCCCAACACTTTGGGAGGCCAAGGCAGGTGGATCATGAGGTCATGAGGTCAGGAGTTCAAGACCAGCCTGGCTAACATAGTGAAACCCTGTCTCTACTAAAAATACAAAAATTAGCTGGGTGTGGTGGTGGGGGCCTGTAATCCCAGCTACTCAGGAGGCTGAGGCAGAGAATTGCTTGAACCCAGGAGGTGGAGGTTGCAGTGAGCCGAGATCGTGCCACTGCATTCTAGCCTTGGTGACAGAGGGAGACTCTTTCTCAAAAAAAAAAAAAAAAAAAAAAAAAAAAAAAAACAAAGAAAGAAAGAAAACAAAAGATCCCTGGGAATTCACAGAAACCTTGGGGGTGATTACCAGACTTTCTGAAGCGTTTGGAAGGGGGAAGATGATGTAACTTCAGCTGACATCTGCATTACAATATATATTATCTTATTTCATTTTAGTATTACAACAGACAAAGAAACAGAAGATCAGAAAGGTGAAGTGACTTGCCCAAGATTATTCTGGTAAATAGCAGAGCTAAATAGCTAAATCAGCTATTTCTGACTCCAGAAACCATATTTTTTCCAAGACCCAGCATAACTGAGGAGGAAACTTGGCAACAAGTGTGTGCTCAGTTAGGCAACGGTTCAAATAATTAAGCAAATGCTTCATAAAGTGACAGCTAATTTGGTATTTTGATATCAGATAATCCTAAGGAGAGACCAAAGGCAGACCAGGAGAAAGGAGCTTAAACAAAAAGTTTTAGGGTGAGGAGCTGTCCTGGGAACATAAGAGTACATCAGCTTCGCTGGAGATTAGGGTGTGGAAGGAATGTATTGGGAGATAAGGTCGGCAAAGGCCAGAATGTGGTTAAGGAATTTGGGCTTTATCATGAGAAAGTGGGGAGTATTAACCCATAGAATAATGTGGTCAGAACACATTTTTAGGAAGATCATTTAGGAAGCCAGGGTCAGGGATACCGGATGGATTTGTTGTAGTAGGACCAGTCAAGGGTTCCCTCCAAAGCAATGTAGTATCTCTGAAACCCTGAAAGGGTGAGGTTAAACCCTGCCTTGATCGAAATGTTCACAAAACAGCCACTAGTTGGCAGGAGTGTGCCAATGAATGAATGAGCCAAACTCCCAACTAGCACAGCTTCCCTTCTCTCACTCCTTGAGCTGTGGTGGGATATGATCAGCTGGTGGATAACAGGAGTAGGTGGGAGGGCAATCTCTTCGGAGGAAACTTCAAAGGCCCAGAGGAGAAGGAGAATGTGATCAGAGAACAGAGTGGATGGATGGCTGGAGGATAGGGTTGGAGTCGAGTGGGGCCAGCCGTGAGGGAGAGAGCTTGATCATGAATGACTTGAATTTTCAGGTTAAGAAACACAGACATTATCCTGAGAGAAATGAGGAACCCACGAAGGTTTTTAAGTAGGAGAGAGACATAACTAGATTTGAATTTTAGGAAGATCATCGATTGCAGTGTGGAGAATGAGGAGGAAGGAGGAAGCAGAGCCAGTGAGAAGGCAGTTGCAGTGATCCTGGGAGAGGTGATGAGTGGCCAGCACTAGGGGCAGCAATTGCAACGGACAGACGGGCCAGAATTGTAGGAGACTTATGAAATAAAAATCACAGAATGAAAAAGGGGCCACTAAAAATGTAGTTGACAGAAGAGAATGAATATCCTTTCCCTATTATTAAATGCATCCTGAATTGTCAGATCGTCTACCTAAAATTGCACTGGAAGAACTCAGATTTCAGAACTTCTTGGCTTCTAAATTCTACTTCATTCATTCAATAATCCTGACCAGAGTCTGTGGTGGAAAGTGGGGACCAAGGAACGGCTCAGTCCTGTACCTGCGGCAGCTGCCCCTACCCCGCCCGCTCGCCCAGTGTGGTGGATAGTCAATTCCGGTACAGCGTGGAGAGCGCTTTGATGGAGGAAATACAAGCCGATGTAGTGTCCCCGGGAAAACCTGATCCAGAAGGCTTCCAGGGAGAGGAGATTTTGCGTCTAAGATTTCAAATGAAACATCTCATAACACTGTCAGTGAAACAACTAAGCACTGCTGGGAAAAGATGGTGGCCTGCTGGGAAAAGATGGTGGCCCGGAGAACAGTCCCGTTATCTATTTACCCCTTTTCGTCAGAAACCGTAGGCGTCACCTTATGCAGGATAGGAACCCGGGTGAGCTACGTCCCCAGGGATGCCCAGCGATACACAAGTCACCGTCACCCCCTCCAGAGTAAACAGCATCGCCTGACAAGCAGGCGTCCGGGTCGTCCTCAAGGGCCAGCGCCTGGAACCGCCAGGGTGTGATTGGTGGAGTCTTGGAGCCCGCCCCTCGTCGGGCCCAAAAAATCGTCTCTGATTGGTGGAGACGCCACCTGGCCCCGCCCCTCCCCAATCTTGTCCGGGCGCCGCCGGCGGTCGGGCTTTGGGGACCGTTGTGAAGTCTGGGGAGGATGCGCCATCGACCCCGGCAGTAGGCGGCCGAACCTTGGTTCCAAATCTTCTACCCCGGGGTGGATTGCGGCCCCTAGAGGAAAGGCGTCAGCGGACCGACCGGCAGCTGTGCCGCCACGGCACTCTGGGACACGCTGAGGGCGGGCCGGGCTCCCTGCGCCTGCGCTGACATTTTGCAGTTTGGGAAATGGCGGTGCTCGGGGACGTGGCGGGAGGGAGCTGCGAGTGGATTGTCGGGCCTTTTCAGACCGGGGTCTGGATCCCCCGGCCGGGGCGGTTCCGGGTTGCTGCCTGGCTCTGCCAACTTTCGGGGCCCTCGCGTACGGCCACCGGCGCGGGGCTCCCACCCATCCCCACCCCACCCCGTCTGTTTCCTTTCCGGTCCAGTGGGGACAGCCTCTGAGTGAGGAGCGTCGTAGGAGTAAGATACCCGAGTGGCAACCCTGACAGCCTAGGCCCCAGCCTCTCCTTCTCGCCCTGTCCCCAACCCTCTGCTGCACGGGGACCCGGATAACTCCTTTCCACAGAAGTCTTTTGGGAGCACGTGATAAGGCTTCTTTTCACCTGGCCTCAGCCCTTCATCAGTTAACCGCCCTGTCCTCAGGCTCAGGCAGGGCACATCCTTCTCAATCTGCTCTCCTTTGTGAGATGCAGATGGATGTTCTCATAGATTTTTATACCTAATGGTAATGCATATAGGTATTTCCATTTGCTAAGTACCAGTTTTCCTTTGTCAGCTGACCCTCTAGAGACAAATATCCTTGGTGTTTTATTTCCTGAAGTATCTTCTGAGTGCCTGCTGTGCATCAAGCACTGTACTGAATAGTGCTGAGGACCCACAGGAACCAAATCAGCATCTTCTCATGAAACTCTGACTAGTGGCAGAAAATTGGACTTGTGATGAAGGAACAGATGAAGTGCTCTGGAATTCAGGGGTGAAGGAGGAAGATGAGCTGTCTTTAGAGAGGAAACAGTAGCATATAGAGGAACCAGAGGGGGCAATTCCAAATGAAATGAACACCAGGCAGCTTGACAGCTCACTGGGCCCATACAAAGAACGTGGTTCATTTTGTGTGTAGGGGGGAGGGGTGCGGGAGGTGGGTGGAGTTAATGGAGTAGGGGTTGTATAGTACCATTGTTGAAAGCAGGGGTTTTAGCTTATTCACTGTACGACTTCAGGCACATAACCTCTTTGAGCCTGTCAAGTAAAGGTACAGTATTTACTTCACATTCAAAATAATGCATTTCAAGCCTGAGCATCACGGTTGGCACAAAACTGCTGTCTTTTTGAACACCAACTATCAAATATGTGATAGAAATGCCTTGAATGTCAAGATAAAGAATGTATATATTCTCTGGGTCACAGGGATCAAACAGATTTTTGAGCAATAGAGGACACTGATGAGAGGTGCGTGTAAGGGACTGGATCCTGAGTCAAAGTCTAAGCCGCTGAAGTGGTTGCAACCCCACTTACTTTTGTCTCACTCCCATCCAAACCTCCCTACCCTCAATCCACAAGCATTTCAAAACCATGTTTCTAAAAACCAGCCATTTATATCTGTTTAGGTAAGTAACAGGAGTGAGGTGGTGTATTTACAAGTTGGCTTGTCCAGATATACTATAACTTAGTGTCTGTATTTAATATTGACAACCAAAAAATATATATAAATATCTTGCATCTATACACAACAGGGCAGGAGTCTCCGTGTCTTCTTGAGCAGTGAGTTTGCAGGCTCCCACAGGCCCTCTTCTCATGGTGACAGTGTGGCCCTCAGTGCAAAGGAGACTAGAACCCGGCAGCCCAGACTGGCCCTTCCCCTCTCCTCCCTGCACTCCAGTGCTCCCAACTGGTCTCAGGTAAGGAAAAATTAATTTGAGTGGTTGGGTAGGAAGAGATGGGAATGGGCAAATCCTAATGGAGCCTGACCCCTAGAGTGGGGAGATCCAGGCCAGCAGAAGGGGTGGCCATAGCCACCTCCTGGGATAGAAGCCTTGTAGTTCATAGTTCGATTAGTGTGTCCTTAGGACATAGGTCCGGCCCTACAGATTAGCTTGGTGAAGGAGGCAAGTGTCTGGACAGGGCATAGTCCCCACCCTCAGGCACTGAGCCATTCAGGGTGAAGCCTGGGATGTGGGTAGAGGAGACTCAGGCTGATATAAAAATAACAAAATCAGTAATAAAAAAATTATAAAACCTGTTGCTTGTCTGAATAGATTTGAGCAACAGTCTTGCTTTCGTTAAAATCCTGGAGCTGTTAAGTCCTGAATATTCTTCTGGACATCATTGCTGGCTGGAGAAAGGAGCCCCAGGCCCGGCTCGGCTGACATCTGTCAGTTTGGAAGTCTCATCCAGCTGCCTGTGCTCCTGAGAGATCCTTAGGGCTGCTGGGAGCAGGCCGGGCTGGTGGTCTGGGGCGCCTCACACTTGGGAATCAGCCCCCAGGGGATGGAACAGCTCCTCGGGTGTCTTGTCACTTTGGCTGGCTCCCCCCTGCCGGAAGCCGGAAGCAATCTCATCGAAGGTCCGGCCTTTAGTCTCGGGAACTTTGAAGTAGGTGAAGATGAAGAACAGAACCAGGAGCACAGTGAAGATGATGAAGACGTAGGGACCACATAGTTGCTGAAAGACATACAGACATGCTTGGTTGGAGTCATGACCCTACATCCTGACTGTAGGACTTTGGATAAGTCACTTTACCTTTGGGCCTTTGAGCTGAAAAAGGGAACATCCACCTCCCCAGGAAGGCTATCATAATTAAATGAGATCACGCTTGCGCCTAGCGTGTAATAGGCTCCAGGAGCACCACTCAAGGCTAAGGGGAGAACCCTGGAGTTGAGGTCAGCATTCTTGGTCATGTGACCTGGGCTTCCTACCCTCGATTTCCTCCTCAGCATGATTCCTAATGAGAATGCTGGGCCAGCACTTTGCACAGCACTGTGGGGTCATGCGTGCAGGCGAGAAATGGTGAGTATAGAGACAGTGGGGTTCTCACCTCCACATACTGGAAGCACATGCCCACAATGAAATTTGAGGTCCAGTTGGAGAAGCCTGCAACAGCAATGGCAGCTGGACGTGGACCCTGGCTGAAGAGTTCAGCCACGATGAACCATGGAATGGGGCCAGGACCCACTTCAAAGAAGGCCACAAAGCCAAAGATGGCTACGATGCTCAGATAGGACATCCAGGGTAGTTGCTCCTGTTGAGGATGACGAAGAAGGGGAAAAGTTAGACTGGGTTGTGATGGATCCTCAGGGGAAACAGAAGCTACAGAGGCAGCCCAGAGCAGAGCCATGCTAGAAGGCAGGAAGCCTGGGGCTGGTCCTGGATTTGTTGTGTATCCAGCGTTGGGCCTACGTTTCCTCATCTGAACAAAATGACTTAAGTCCTGCGGGTTGGTTCCAAGTGTGAGCCCACCCCCTGGGAGTGGTAATGTGGTATGCATGTGGAGGGTGCTAAGAGGCCCCGTGGTCCCCTGGCTGTGCCTGCAGTGCAGTCTGCCTGTGGCAGGATGCAGAAGAACATTCCTGGGGGTGGGGTGGATTCAGGTTCTAAGGTTTGTGCGGTGCCCAGCTCTGGATGGTACAGAGTAAGCACTAAGCATATGGTTCTCATATAACCATTCTCCTTGAGGCGGCCCGGGTGGAAAAGTTACGGTCTTTCCACTTGCTGCCTGTCCGGCCTTTCGGCAACCACCAAACTTTCCAAGCCCAGGTTGAGCTGTAAAATGATGGTCATGGTGCTTTCCTTGCCCAGAGGCTGAATAAACAACTGCCTGTGTGTGAGTGCCAGGCACAGGGTTGGCATAGCGGTCACAGTCACAGGCTTGGGGCTGAGGTTGATTCTTGGCTTCATCCTTTATCTGACAAGTTACTAACCTCACTGGGAATTAGGCTTCCTCCCCCATAAAATGGGAAGAACTGAACTACACCTCTAGTCGTGTGAACTGAATGAGGCAAGACGTGGTTCTGCACCTCTGTGGGGAGGAGAGCAGTACTTCCCAGGGTTGCTGTGAAGATGAATTGAGGCTACAGATGAAGATTGGAAAGGGTTAATATTAGGCAAAGTAATTCCTTAAGGAGGTGAGAGTTTGGGGTCTGGGACCAGAGGTGCTGTGCTGAGAATCCATCAAGCAGGGAGGAGCAAGTTCAAGAGAGGATGTGTGTGGTTTGGAAGGTGACAACTTCAGGAGCCAGAAGGTTGAACCCACAGCCAGGGAGAGCGCAGTCACCACCTGGCCTGCCAGCCTGGGGCTGAGACAGGCATTTTGGGATCTGAAGCCCAGGCGAACTCCCCCACATCCCTCACCCTCCAGAACCTGGCAACTCACCAGCAGTGCCAGCGCGATGGTCATGAGTATGGCACAACCTGCCATGCCAGCCAGGCCTATGAGATGCAGGGTCCGCCGGCCTGCTCGCTCCACCACAAACAGCTGTGGGCAGAGACAGTGTCAGTGCCACCCCTGCCTGGTGCCCCTCTGAACCCACCCACCCAGAGGCCTCGCCTCAACAGCCGGGAAAGTCACAGGACACTGCAAAGACCAGCAGGGAAGATGGCACCGCCTCCTCCCTGGGGCTTGGCTGGGGGAGCCAGTAAGCGAAGACTCACCGACACAACAGTGAAGGCCGTGTTGACAATGCCGGAGCCAATGGTGGCGTACACAGGCTGCTGCACCCCTGCCTTCTCAAAGATGCTCGTGGAGTAATAGAAGACCTGCCAGACAACAGAAACTGTTGGAGCCTACCTGGACATTGTGGCCCTTCCCTGCCTCTGTAGCAGTGCATGTGGAACCCAGGATGAGTAAAGAATGAAGGGGACAAATACTCAGGCAGAAGGACACTGCACTGCAGTGTCCTTACAGGCTTGGGTTCTAAAGGGAAGGTTCTCCTTTGGCAGAGGCGTATCTGTTATTTCAAGTTTGGGGCTTGTTCACCGTGCACACTTGACCAGAGGGCTTGGCTGGGGCACAGGAAGGGTGGGTGGGGGCACTCACAGCATTGATGCCCGACAGCTGCTGGGACAGCTGCAGCACCACAGCAATGAGGATGGGCTGGCGGTAGGCGGGGGAGCGGAACAGCTCCAGGATGGTGACCTTCTTCTCCCGCATCATCTGCCGACTCTCTTCCTTCATCTCCTGCAGGTCATGGGTCACGTCAGCCGTCCCGCGCAGCTTCTTCAGCACTGGAGGGACCGGAGGGAAGGTGGGGGTGGCTCAGAGTGGGAAGAAGGCCAGGGCTCAGGGAGTGGGGAGGAGGGCAGGGCCCGGCCCGTACCACTCTTGGCCCGGTTCTCCTCATTGCGGTTGATGAGCAGGAAGCGGGGGCTCTCGGGGCAGAAGGGCAGCACGATGCACTGCAGCAGGGCTGGGACGAAGATGATGCTCAGCAGCAGGGGCCACAGGTCCTCGTTGCCCATGATGGAGTCCAGGCCGAACACCTGGGGGAAGCAGGGGCTGTGAGCCTCTGCCCTGACCCCCCTTCCCACCCCGTCCTGCCAGAGTGGCCTTCCCTACTTTGTGTCAGCTGCTGCTTCACAGAAGAGCCCCAGTTCTAGAGGCTCTGCCACTAGCATGAGGCTCAACCTCTCTGAACCCTCAGTTTCCTCATCAGTCACGTGGGGAAAGTAGGACCTACCCCACAGTGTTGCTGGGAGGACAAATGCCAAGGCCACAGATGTGTCCAGGACAGAGAACGGGGGCTGCTACTCTGCCACAGGAGGGTTTTGGGGACAGGGAAGGGGAAGCCTCCTGGAGAGAGGGTACACTGCACATAATGGCCTAAGGCATGCTGGGGGAAGGCGGGCCCTGTGGTTGGCGGCCTAGAGTGAGAAGAAAGGGATTGAGAAGAGTCAAGTCATCTTGCTCTCAACTAGGAGGCCATGGTGCTGTGTTCTCTGGACCTGTGTACCATAGCTGTCCTCTGCAGGGCTGTGGGGGCTGGGTGGAAGAGAAACTGCCCTGCGGGACACAGATCTAAGAGCCACTGAAGCTGTGGGCAGGGGCTGTGCCGGGCAGGTAGATCCTGCCCTAGCTTACCTGGGCAATGAGGATGCCAACGACGATGCCCAGCTGGTGCAGGGTGCCCAGGGCCCCACGAAGGGCTGTGGGTGACACCTCACCCACATACATGGGCACGAAGCCTGTGGTCAGGCCGCAGTACACACCGATGATGAAGCGGCCCAGGATCAGCATCTCAAAGGACTTGCCCAGTTTCGAGAAGCCCATGAGCACGGCAGACACGAAGGCCAGCAGGTTCATCATCAGCATTGAATTCCGCCTGGGGGTGGGGTCACAGGTCAGGCCGGTGCCCACATTCCTTGGGCTCCCAGGGGCTGGGTCATAGGTAACACCCTAGAACAGACAGGGAAGTCTCCCCCACCTCCCACCCCATCTGGGACTCCCTGGGCAGGAGGGCATGGGCCCTCCAAGGGCAGTGCCAGGACCTCTCCTACTTACCGGCCAAAGCGGTTAACGAAAAGGCCCACAGAGAAGGAGCCAATCATGCCCCCAACGGAGAATATGGCCACAGAGAGGGACCAGAGTGTGGTGAGCGTGGTGGGCAGGATGCGCTCCCCATAGCGGTGGATCCATGTCTGGTTGTAGAACTCCTCAATCACCTGCAGGGGGAGATGCAGCCTGGGTGGGCAAGCCCCGGGCCAGGACCCAGTCTTCCTTTTCCTTTCCCCTTGCACCCCTCCCTAAGAGAGGGCCGGGGCCTGGCTCTGCCACAGATTCACTCCATGTTCTTGAGCTAAGTCCCTCTATTTCTGTGGGCCTCAGTTTCCCCAGGCAAGAAACAAGGGGTTGGAGTCCATCTGAGAGCCCCGCCAACTCTCCCGCTTCCCCTAACGTGTGGTTTCCAGTGCCCTGTGGTTTCACAGGCTCAGTGTGACTTGCTGGGATGACAGCAAGTGACCAATGGTGGAAGTTCAGGCATAGAACAGAGAGGTACAAGGCCAGGTGTGGTGGCTCACACCTGGAATCCCAGCGCTTTGGGAGATCAAGGCAAGCAGATCACGGGAGGTCAGGAATTTGAGATCTGCTTGACCAACATGGTGAAACCCTGTCTCTACTAAAAGTAAAAAAAAATTAGCTGGACGTGGTGGCGCAAGCATGTAATCCCAGCTATGCGGGAGGGCTGAGGCAGGAGAATCGCTTGAACCCAGGACATGGAGGTTACAGTGAGCCAAGACTGCGCCACTGCACTCCAGCCTGGGTGACAGAGTGACACTCTATGTCTCAAAAAAAAAAAAAAAAGAAGTACAGAAGGAAAAGGGCCTTCCTACTTGCCCCTTTTATCCTCACCATGTCTCAAAGCCCCAAGGGCCCATCTCCTGCCACCGGGCCCTTTCCCCAACCCCTTGCTGGGGAGGAAGCAGGGCTTGACAGACGGGTTCCGCCATCCAGGAAGTACAGACTCCCTGACCGCACTGAGGGCCTGGTGTGACAGACTCACACATGTCACCCTTCAGATGTGCTTGAAAGACTCACACTGTGGCTTTCTGTTCCCCAGGCCTAGCTCCCTTGTGTCTGGCCTGCGAGCACCCCCTTGAAGGACCCATGCATGGCCTCCTCCCCTCTCCCAAGGGCCCAGCTAGGAGGTACCGGGAAAGGCTCCACACAAGGAAGCAGTTCCAGGAACTGGAAACGCCTGTCCTAGGACAGACCTGCCCACCAGCCCTGCCCCCACCCTGGCCAGCTCCCAGGGATGTGGTAGGCAGGCAGCACCGGTTCTGCCTGAGTACACTCACTACACTCTCAGTGCCACGGGACTGGCCAGACCCATCCAGCCACACGTATAGCAGAGTGCAGGCCTAGTTACCCAGAAACGGCTTCTTGTGCACGTATACCATCACACACACATAACCATGCTCACAGAATCTGAATATTCCTGCTTCAGCCAGTCACAAACTCACAGGCCCCTCATCCCCTACCACTTACAGCTCAAACTCAATTCCATTTGAACCCAACCCATCCCAACACCCCTCCATGTGTGTGCATGCCGCAAGTTCATACACACACAGTGGTATGCAGCCTCCATCACTGCTGTTGGTCCTCCCTATCCCTTCCAACCCACCGAGGTCTAGCAAAAGAGGAAGGTGTGGGCGGGCACACTTGCCAAACGGGGGCCTGCAGTCCCAGAAATGCCCACTGAATATGCTGGGCCTGCCTCCTGGTGCCTTCCTTCCCATTGCTGTGGGTCCTCAGCCTCTAGTCATCTCTTTGCCTGCCCTGTCACAACCTGTCCCAAGTCTGGAGGCATCTGATGGAGGCCAGGCTCCAACGGGCGAGGACAGTTGGTAGGGGAGAGGCAAGCCCTAAGGATCTGCTTGTCCATTCCAAGGATGCCAGGCAGGGCAGTGAACAGAAACCTGAACTCTGAATCTGGACACAACTAAATTCAGGTACTAGCTCCACCCCTTATTTCCAGTGTGACCATGAGCAAGTTATTTCATCTCTGAGTTTCCATGGCCCCATTTCTAAAGTGCAGACATTAGCAGTAGCTGCTTCACAGTGCTGCAGGGAATCAGTGACACAGCGCTCTCCAGTGCTTGGTGTCATCATCCCTAAAATCACCCCACTGCACACTGGTGGCCTGAAGGCTGTGCAGACCACTAACAGAGTCTCCCCAAGCCTTCAACTCGTAACTCAAATTCGGGGCTCTTGCCTGGTATCAATCCAATCTCCCTACCTACCACACCTTTGCGCTATATACCATTTCCCACTCCTCTACACCTTTGAGATGCTACCACTCCTGCCTGGAAGGTACCCCTGGCCTTACTGCTGAAACCTTTCGAGATGCAGGTTTCCCTGACTCCAGGAGTTTGTCTTCCCTGAGGAAGACACTTGATTCACACCTGGTCTGTCCCAGAGCCAATGCCAGGGATACCTGGTGAGTAAATGGAGGAATTGATGAACTAAAGATGTTTGGCTCTCCTCTTAGAACCCCTTGATTCCGCTGGGGGCAGAGAGAAGGTAGATTTTGAGAAAAAAACAGAGCAACAAAACACAAAGTGTTCTTCTATGGACGAAACTAACCCCAGAGGAGGACTGGTTGGGAACGGTAATGCCCTGTTTATCAGGCTCCACCAAGAACAGGCTGTTCTGGATGAGGGTGGATATGGGAACTGTCCAGATAAATGGCGCTTGCCCTTTTGAGGGTCCAACCTTTCCTGACCCATTATGGGGTGAAAATTTGAAAAGATTTCACTTTGCTCTCCTGAGCAACCAGACCTACAAGCAGGGCTGCAGGGCAATGGTGTCTGCCCTTGGGGCTCTCTGCAGGGGCAAAGAGAGGTGTTTGCGCCTGTGCAGACTGGCTCCTGATGGCTAAATTTCTGCAGTCCATAGTTCTAAGGTATTCCCCCACTCCTCCGTGGTTCAGAGGCTTGTCTTGTACAACTCTACACACCCCTTTTGAAATTTGCCAAGAAGTCAGCAAATGGAATTTGTTTGAATTGAATACAAAGAAAGAGTAAATAGGTGCTAAGTAAGGCCTGAAACTACCTAAATAAGCCTGAAGATCTGTCGAGATGTTGGGGCAACTAATAAGAGAGGTGTATAAGTGAGGTGTGACCAGAGCTCCACCCTGAGTTACGTCTCCTGTCTGTGGTCACACAGTCAGAGGGACCCAACCTCGTCCAGGGCTGGCTCCTGGACGCTGCCTAGCTGCTCTGTTACTCAGACCACTTTATGGGGTGGAGGAAGGGTGAGCAGCCAGCTCTCTGCATGTTAACCTTGGCCTAGACTCATCCTCTCCAGCCCACAGCAGCACTTCCTGGCCAAGCTGAGGCTGGGGAGTGGGTTTCTGCCTCTTGGTGCCTGAGATTTCTGGGAAGAAGCCACGCCTGGTTTTCCACTCCTACTGCTGGTTCCGGTGCTCTGTGCCCTCTCCTCCCTGGGGATTCATATGGGGTTCCATGCTGACTCTTGGCCCAGGAAAGGTGGGAATGCTGGAGAATGAGAAGAACCCTACATAGGGAAAAGCTCTGGACACATCCTCCCTAGAAGTGTCTGGGTGCACCTCAGGAAAGAAGACTCTACTTATGCCCTGACAGGATCCCACAGGCCCAATCCCGTGGGCTCCCAGCAGCCTCCGCAGCCCTGGGTCATGTGTGAGGTGAGACCTGGCACGTGCCTGTTCTGAACGCTCCCACCTCACATGCCCATCCCAAGCTTAGGAGTTAGACACTTGATGCTGCCACCACCCCACATCCACCAATCACCAGGTCCTCTCGATTCTGCCTCCGAGTCTGTCCTACTTCTCTACCCAGGCAGCCTGCCCTGGGTCTCATCTGGATTCTGCTCCTGACTCTTCCTATCCACCAAAGTCAGACCTCATTTCCCACAGCGAACCACCCCTCAGAATGCAGTTGGTGTCCCACACACCAAATGTGCCAGGCTCGTCCATTCACCCGCTTCTCTGCTCCCTTCCCAGCCCGGTCTCTTCACCCAGCCGTGGGGTCTGGGTGGCAGCAAGCGTGTTGAGGAGGGAGGAGCGGTTCTGGTCAGTTCCCAGGGGGACTGCCATGGCATCGGCCAGCCGAGAGCTGAGGGGCTACTAAAGATCTCTGTCCAGGTGCCTCACTGAGCCTAGAGGACACCCACCATGGAGACCACCCTAGAGAAGCAGGTTGACTGTGGGCAGCTGAGATCCTTTGGACCAGATGGCTTCTGGTACACGAAGCTATTCCTCACCCAGTGGCTTTCCTGGGGTGAGGGGGAGGCCTGCACAAGCCTAAGGACACCCTGGGAATCCCCATACCACCTCCTGCCAGTCTAGGCAACTGTGGGTGAGACCACATGTCCGCCTGTCTACCAAGGAACTTCTCACTTCCCCTTTGTAGAGCGGCATGAGGCGGCGGACACTGCCTGGCACATGGGTAAGCTGTTACTGTTGTCACTGTTGCTCTCTCAAGAAGAGAAGTCACCACCTTCAGAGGAGCCTTAGGGACAAGGTTTTCCATTTTGAAATTGCCAGAAATCATTACCTTAAGAATGTAAGAGGAAGGAGGAACCTGAAGGAACTAGGGGCCTGCTCGGGGAGTAAAGCTAGTCTCCAGGCCCTGCTCAGCTGCTCCTGGCAGAGGAACCCAGCAGGTCTGTAGCCCCAGAGGGCAGAGGCGCCAGGGCCAGACTCCAGCTTCGGGGAAGGAAGAGCTTTATAGACTTCAGGGTAAGAGGCTGCCCACCTTACAGGTGGTGAGTTCCCTGTAAATAGGGAACATGCAAGTCAAAGTGCTCCAGAGCCGAACTGGCAAACATTTTATGTAAAAGGCTAGCTAGAATCCATTAGGCAGGGTCTGTGAGCCACATTCTTTTTTTCTCAACCTTGTAAAAATGTAAAAACCATTGTTAGCTCACGGGGTAGACAAAAACAGGCTGCTGGCTGGATGTGGCCCTCCTGCCAACCCTTGATCTAGGATTCTAGACCACTGCCGGGAGGGGTATGTGTTTTGGAACCTCTGGCTGGTCTCACCATCCTTCCTGCTAGACATTCCTCTACCCCAGGAGGACTAGGTCAGCTAGGTCATCCCCAGCAGGGATCCCTGGGCCAGGTTGAAGCTCCATCTCAACCCTCCCTGTGCTCTACTGGATGCTATTATGGGGAAAAAGG